CATTTTTCTCATTGTCTTGGCTACTAACATTTGATTCCTCATTATTTCTGCAAATTTTTGTAGCCAGCTTGAATTTATCCCCAGAAAATGGGTTTTTCTTTTCTGCCACATGGTCAGGATGCAAATTTTCCAAACTTGTATGCTCAACTTCCTTTTTAAACACAAGGTCCTCATTTCGATCTGAGACCACGCCAGCCTGGACTTCATTGTTCATATCACTCTCAGAATTTTGGTCAAAACCATTCAACAAATGTCTATGAGGTTCCAAACTTTCCCACATCTTCCTCTCTTCTTCTGAGCCCTCCGAACTGTTGTAACCTGTTCCCGTTACCCAGTTCCAAAGTTGTTTCCATGTTTTCAGGTTATCTTTATGTGAGTGTCCCATTCCTGATACCATTTTATGGTACTGGTTCATTTACACACTGCTATAAAGAAATGCCCAAGACTGAGTAATTTATAAAGAGGCTTAACTGACTCGTAGTTCCACATGGCTGGAAGGCCTCAGGAAACTTACAGTCACGGCAGAAGGGGAAGCGGCACCTTCACACGGCAGCAGGAGAGAGTGTGTGTGTGTAGGAGGAACAGTCAAACACTTATAAAACCATCAGATCTGTGAGCACTCACCGTCATGAGAACAGCATGGGGCAATCTGCCCCCATGACCCCATCACCTCACAACAGGTCCCTCCCTTGACACTTGGGGATTATGGAGACTATAATTAGACATGAGATTTGGGTGGGGACACAGAGCCAAACCATATCACTGTCTCTACAAAAAATACAAAAATCAGCTGGATGTGGTGGCGCATGCCTGTGGTCCCAGCTACTTGGGGGCCTGAGGTGGGAAGATCGCTTATGCCCAAGAGGTGGAGGCTGCAGTGAGCATCACTGTGTTCCAGCCTAGGTACTATGTCTGAAAAAAATAAATATATAAAAAAGATCTACCAGAGTCCCTTCCCCTGAAATACTGCAAACAAGACTGACCCAGCCCCACCCTCTCAGTGGTTGAGAGACACAGCACCTGAGGTGGGGCCAAGAGTGCAGCCCCCACACAACCGGGCATTGGCCGGACTGGCACAGGTGGCTGGCCAGGCTCTGAGAGCTGACCGTGTGCCAGCGTGGGGCCCAGACAGTCCAGCACATCCACACCTCGGCACCAGTGGGTCCCGGGATGTGACCCTGATGTTAGGAGCCTGAGGCAGGGTTAAGGCCGGTGTGCGTTCTAGTCACCCAGACCCAGGGGCCCGACATGGCTCTCTTTGGCTGAGACAGGTGAGCCACTGTCTGGGGTTCTTCACCGTCTGGCTCTCTCTATGTTGGCCCAATCAGAGGTTACCAAGGTCCACACCATTCCATAGCTTGGTCCACCTCTTATCCCTGGACCAAGTGGCCCTACACTCTCAAAGAATCAGGCAGTCTCCCTACCAGATCACAATTCCCAAGGGCTGGGTAGTGTCTCCGGATGCCCAGGGCACAAGGCAGCTGAAGGAAAAGACTGGGTGCCAGGACCATACAGTGAGGCGCGGCAGACGCCCCCCACTTCCCGAGGCTAGTGATGGGTGGATCCATCCATGCTGGCTGCAGCCCTCACCGGTCTCTGACTTGGAGACACCCTGGCTGAAGGAGGTGCCCACTGCCAGGGGGCCTCAGTGACCCCAGTCCTGTAAGAGGGTCTCCTCAGGCAATAGTCCTCGCTGGGCTGTGACAGAGAACAGAAGGGAAGTCTCTGTCTCGACAAGTTCACTTCAGCCCGGCGCACAAGCAAACACTATTCGGCCAGCAGCAAGGGCACCCGCTGGCGAGACAGGTGCACGAGGCACCCTAGCAGGGGCGGGCCGGACGGCCGGGGCAGGAGAGGCCGGGAGAAGCCGGGCTGGCTCCGGACGGGGAGCCACCGCAGGACCCGCACTCCGAGGACGCGCGTGGGCTGTCTTTGCACCGGGCTGGCCGCGTTCGTGGCAGGTTGGTGACTCCCTGTGTCCCAAGCGACGGCGCCCTCCGGCCGGTTCTCCGAGCCAGGCCCGCGCTCCGCCTCCAGCGGCCTCTGGACGCCGCCGACCCAGCCCCGGGGGTTCCTGCCCAGCGAGGCCGCGGCCAGGCGCAGGTTGGACCGGACCCAGCTTGGCGCGAGCTGCCCCCGCTCCGCGGCGCCCCGGCCCTGGGGGCCCAGAACCAGGGGCATCGCTGTCCAGTCGCCGCGGCCGGTGACGCCTGGCGCCCGTGGGTTTCCCTGGCCGCCCGTGTCCGGCGCCCGCGTCCGCCGCCCTCTCCCCTCGCGCCGCGGCCTCGGCGGTGCCCGGAGCTGGCCCCGACCTCCAGTCCTGAGGAGCCTGGTGGGACCGCGGTCCGGGCGTTCGTCCTCTGCCTCCGCCGCCGCTGGGTGACTTTTCGGGCCTCCGCATCTGCGGAGTCCTCCCGGGCAAGGGCTGCGCCCCACGGGACGCGTCGCGGGTCTGGGCAGGGGGCACGCGGAAAATCTGGGGACACAGACGCGGCCTCCGACTGCTCCTGTGCCGGGGTTCGGATCCGAGTCAGCCTCTCCCGTTGGACCATGGACTAGGGAGAGGCCTGCGGGGCGGGGCCTGTGACGCTCCGGGAGGACCTGACTGGGTGCCCACCCAAGGATCCGAGGAGGAGGAGCCAAGCCCTACAGAGACTGGCCCTTAAAGGGATTCTTGTTCCAAAAGTGGACGGATCTTTTGGTTTAAAAACGTTCTCCGGTACTCACCCTTCTCTCCCCAGCTCGGTATTGGAATAAATCATGGCACTGGTTCACAGTAACAACTTTATGCCTATTAATATCCTAGAACACACGCAGATATACTGAACATTTATTCTTTATTATTTTGAGACAGGGTCTCCCTCTGTCCCAGAGGGCAGTGGTGCCATCTCGGCTTCTTGCAACGTCCAACTCCCAGGCTCAAGTGATCCTCCCGCCTCAGCATCCCAAGTAGGAGCACAGGTGCCTGCATCACCTCACCCGGCTAGTTTTTTGTTTTGTAGAGATGGGTTTCTCTATGCTGCCCAAGCTGGTCTGGAGCTCCAGGGCTCAAGTGATTCCTCCCACCCCTTGGTCCCCCTAAGTTGTGCTGGGATTTCACACATGAGCCACCATGCCCAGCCTGTATATTTATTATTTATTCTTGAAAACCAAAGTTGCTCTAATAAAATCCAGCTTTGGCTGTTTAACTGCCCAGCTCAACCAGAGAAATGTGATTAGAAAGTTTTCCTCCGTGGAAATTTAGATGCCGACACCGCAAGGGGCCCTGGTGCCTGCGGTGGGGATCAGTTCTTTCTACTGAGACTGGTGGCTGCTTTCTGATGTAATAAGGGTGTTCTGAGTTGACTGAAGGAATTGCATCATGAAAGCACTTCTTCGTTTACATCTACAGGCCACTCACTGGAGTGTCCAAGAAGAACTTAGTAAGGATGAGACAGCTGGCCTGGACCTGCGTGGCGTCCACCCGGAAAGCCCCAAAGTGGCCTCGGGGTAGATGAAGCAGGAGCCTGCACTGTGGCCTGGCCCATGTGGCTGCCTGGGGGAAGCACAGGGACATGGGGCCCAGAGCAGGTCAGCCGTGCGGGGGTCTTTCCCTGCTCGCTGGGGGATGGCACTTCCCTGGGTCCTCAGCGTCCCCTATTTCCTAGTAGGCCTCCACATTGGCATCCCTGCTGGTGGGGCAAGGTGGGGCCAGTTCATAGCCAGGGTCCTGTCCTGTGCACAAGAGCTGCCTCTGCCTGGCTCCAGCTTTGGCCAGGAGGTAGAAGAGGGAGCGGGTAGAGGGGAAGGGGAAAGGCCCCAGAGTGGGATTGAAAACCGGGACCCCAGCACTCAGCACACCCAGGTTTCCTGCACAGCATTCTTTCCAGCCCTGGGGCCTGACGGCAGAGCCCCTGAAATGGGGGGCAGAGGTGATGGGGGTGAAAAGGGACCCTTTTGGAAACCTGTGTCCCACTTGCAAACGGAGCCTGGACACTGTTTCTGGCACTGGCTCTGGGCCTCTCCCCTGTTGCAGAGACCTTCCTGGACTGTCCTCCAAGTCGCTGGGCTCCATACTGGGATCAGGGTGGGCTTCCCAAGGGGATCCCACCTGTGTGTGAGGCCCCCACCCTCCACCACACAGTGCAGGAACTGCTGTTCCTTACTGCCTGAAGCTACTTCCTGTGGCCCCGTGAGCCACCTAGGCTCTGCTGCTGCCCCTGACCCCAAGCCCTTTGTCCCAAGGCCCCAACTCCCAGAAAGGGATGGAGGACAGGTGCACGTGTGGGCGGGGCTGCAGAGCTGCAGCTGGCTGTGCTGGTGCAGGTGGTGGGTGAGACCTACCTGGAAATCCATTCCCTGCAGTGCTCAGTGCAGGTAGGGGCTGGGGCTGGGGTTGGGGCTGGGGTGGGGCTGGGGCGGGGGTGACTCATGGCAGCTCCAGGCTCCCCTGGCCTTTCAGCCTCAGCAGCTTTCATCCTGCTCCAGGGACACGGGAGACCCCAGCTGGCAGAAGCCCAGCGCACCCTTCCTTAGGCCCGGCTCCCCACTCAGACTCCCCCATTCACCCCTTTCTTACTTCACTGGATCATTTATGCCTGTGGGCCACACATATAGGGGCCAGGAGCTGCTCGTGGGTGCTCAGAACCAGGAGTCAGCCAGGAACCAGACACTCCTGTCAGGGAGGACACCCGGGGCCCAGGCCCAGGCCCAGAACCAGGTAGATGGGGCGGGAACCGGCAGGACAGGGCCTAGGCATCGGATAGGGATGGGCCCCAGACTCCCCTAGGGGGCCGGAGCCGCGCCATTAAGGCAGATCCCGGTGGGGCTCAGACAAGGCCTGGACCACCCATCGCGAGAACGCGCGCTCCTCCTGTGGACGCCTCGTTTCGGGAGGCACGGAGTCTCTTCGGAGTTCCCCGGGGGAGCACAGTGCCGGCCTCACTCACATCTGGCCGGGTGGGGGCGGGAGAAAGGCCAGCCGGGCAGGGGACGCGCAGGAGAGACGGAAGACGCCGGCGGACGACGCGAAATCTTTACTTAGAGAAAAGCGACAGAGTCAGAGACCCAAGGGCGCGGGGCTGCAGCGAGGGCGCCTGGGGCGAGACACGAACACGCGGAGAGCGGGGTCGGCGCGCTGGTCACAGGAGCTGGCGGGGGGCGCTGCGGAGACAGAGCCCGAGGGTTGAGAGCCTCCGCGGACCCCGCGCCCGTTCACCCGCGGGCTCGGACTCGCACCCCCACCCAGAGGAGCCCGCGGGCCGGGGTCCTGGACTCAGAAGCGGTGGCGGGAGGCCAGGAAGGGCCCCAGGTCCAGCCGGTCGGAGCCCCGCGGCGCGCACCTACCCCGGGCTGGGCTGCGGGCGGAAAACAGTCACTGCGCGGGCGGGGGCGCCGCGCTCCCCGCCGCCTTCCGCGCCGCCTCCTTCTCCGCCTCCGCCGACGGCTTCCCCGGGGGTTCGGTGGCCGCCGCCGCCCCAGCCTGGGTGGGCCCCTTGCGCTCCTCCTTGTTGGCGCGGTGGCCGTCCCCCCAGGGCGCTGGCGGCTCGGTGCCGTGCTTGCGGCTGAGCGGGTAGGCCCCGATGGCCGCCAGGACGCTGCGGTGGCGCTCCGGGTCCATCTCGGCGTAGTACATCTCCAGGGTCAGCGGCGCGCAGAGCTTGTGCTGCGGGAGGGGCCAGGTCAGGGCCGTGGGGCTCAGCCCTCCTGACCCGGACCCTCCCGCTTCCGAGGCTGGGGCCACTGCGGACCGTTTCTAATTAGGCCATGGTTTCGGGACACCGAAGTCAGCCACAGGCTCGGAACTCAGGGCCATGGAGGGCCACGGGGCCAGGGGGTCGCTGTCGCATTGTAGGGGATGGGCCCCCCGGGGAGTGGGGTGCAGACACCAGGGGACCTGCCCAGCCCAGCGAGGCCTCTGCGGAGCGCTCCAGCGCATAAACCATGGAGTTAAGGAAAAGGGGCAGATTTCACTTCTGAAAAATGAAAGGTTTCGAGAAACACAGTAAAAGCTACAAACATCGTTGGCAAAGAGAATAAGGAAGGAAGAAAATGTGTAGGAGCATTAATATGTTACTTAAAAGTAAAACTTTGCACAAGTCACTGGGGGGACAGATGACCGCCTGGAGAGACGGCTGGAGCGTGACTCTTGCTTAAAGAAAGTCGTCTTTAAAATATCAAGTTTTCAAAAGACAGGATCTCATGTTCTGGAGAAGTAACAGGAACACGGATTTGGGGACCACCTTCCCCAGCAGCAGGAAGCAGCCCGGCCGTTGCGACTGGAGGCCACCGGAGGCCGGGAGGCTCTACCACTCCCCACCAGAGACAGGCCCCCTTACCCGCGTCAGGAAGCCGTTGGGGCAGCTGAACTGGTCGTACCAGATGGCCTTGTACAAGATCAGCACACAGCCCATCAGCGCCATGGTGAAGGCAATCATCCGCCCCGTGGGCAGCTGGCAGGAGGACAGGGAGGGGCTCAGCCACACTGGGTAGGGGCTGGGGTTAGCACAGGACCACCACCACCCCCAGTCTTGATGTCCCACTCCCGCCCCAGGCAGTTAGTGACTTCTCCAAGGGTCAGCAGCACAGTCAAGTGTGCAGGCGCCACCCCTGGGGGCCAGGCCTTGCTGGCAGCCCCTCCACCAGGACTCTGGAAACATCTGCCACCATGTAAAGTGATGTGGCCTTTGTCCCAGGTGGGCCTTGAGGGAGTTTGCAGCTTCCCTGTGGCGGGGGCTGTAGCCTCCGGTGAGTTGGAGGCTGCACTCGCCAGGCCGCCCAGGGTGCTGCCCGCGGTGGGTGCAGCAACATGAGCCGCACACTGGAAGGTGAAGCCGGGGCAGGGAGCTCGAGCAGACACGGTGGGGTTAGGGTGGACCTTACTACTGAAGAATGACAGGCTTTGGAAACAGGCCACTAAACATGACTGAAGCTATCATCATAACGCTGAGAGATTAAAATCAGAAGGTGAGGAAGATACTTCCCAGACACACGCAGAAAGAAAGTATTACATAGAAAGCCCGTAAGCCGCTGAAGATGGCTAACAGACTAGCTGCACAGGTGGGGGCTTCCCAGGAAGGGAAACATCTCGGGAGCTCTTCGTTCCGTTGGCACCTGCAGCCTCCAGAGGGAGCTTGACGGGTGCGGGGCAGCCGGAGGACAGCTCTGGGCAGGATGACTCACTGCCACCTTCTCCTCCCTGAGAGCCGGGACAAGGGGCCCCCAGCCCTGTCTGGCCTGAGCCCAGGCACCCGAAGCTGCCCTCCACCTTCTCCCCCTGCCCTGAGTCTCCACAGTGTCTAGGGTGGGTGTGGTTACCCTGCGCCCTTCCTCTGGGTGGCTGCAGTTCGACTTCTGGCCCTCCAGGTCAGGGAACTTCTTCGGCTGGTCTGAGGACAGCTGGTATTCTGTCTGCGTCTTGATGACCACCTGTGGAAAGAGATGACCGTGGCCTCGCTGGGCAGCTGGCAGGGACCCAAGAGAGCACTGAACTGAGAGGAGAGGGAGCCAGGGTCAGCTTCGTGGCAGTGGTGTTGACGCTGACCATCTGCCGGGAACGTCTTGGTGGACGGCAAGGCTCCAGCAGCCACAAAGTGAGGCCAAGGGAAGGTGGACACTGAAAGTGCTGGAGACACAGCAGCCCTGGGCCTGGCCCGACCGCTGACAGAGCACTTCGGTCTGCTGCTGCCTCCAACTCAGGATGCTGGAGAATTGCCCTTGGCCAACAAGGGTGGTCCTCCTGCCCCAGCTCCCCAGAATAGATGCTGCCCCCACTTCCAGCAGGGACAACTCGGGGTGCCCTTCATGCTGCACGACTCCCTGGGGGTCAGACTGGGCTGGGCTCAAGCTGAGCTCTGCTTCTCCCCAGTTTCTGCTTTATGTAACCCCACTGGTCACTTGCCCAAGGACCCCCGTTTCAGGCTCAACCCAGGACAGAGCCATGCCCCAGGGGGAAGGGTGGGAAGCCTTGTCAGCCGAGTGCTCTATGAATGGCAAGTGGGTCAGGTGCTGGCTGGGAGTCAGTGCGTGATTTCCCAGTTATGTGTCCACCAGTTTGCCCCGTTCTGGCACATGGGAGCTGACCAGGAGGTCACAGAGTGCCCCTGGCCAACTGGGATTTTGGCCCTCACGGCCCTTCCTCCGCTTGCTCTACTTCACCTGGGAAGAGGCCACATCTAGACAAACTTCACCCCATACCCCTTTGTTTCCAGGGGAGCCTGAGAAGGGCCCCCACGCCGCCCAGGACCTCACCTGCTCAGGGAGCGACGGCTGGAGCTGGCTGACGTCCAAGGGGCTGATCAGAGGCACACTGTCCATGGCAGCTGCATCCTGGTCCCCAGGGTCTTTACCTGGCTTCCCAGAGAAGCTGCAGCCCAGCTTCACCATGGTGGACAGCGGTCCTTATCCTGTCCGGAGACAGACAGAGTCACTGTCCACAGGCTGTCCCCTGGACGCCCACGCCATCTGGCTCTGATGCCAGAGGGTCCTGAGTTGGTCCTGATGCTCCTCACACCAGAGCCGGGGACGGGCTGTAAGGGGTCAGGACAGCCTCCCTGGGCAAACCCGGCACGTCCAGCCAGATGCTTCCTGTCCCTTCTTGACCCCCACAGACCCTCTGGACCCCACAGCACTGCAGGGGAGAGAGCCCCAGCCAGGACTGTCCATGAAGCCGAGTGAGTCTTCCACCAGCAGCTGCTCTAGACAACCACCACCTCCTCCTCCTCCTGCCGCTCCTCCCCTTCCTCCTCCTCCCCCTCCCCCTCCCCCCGCCCTTCCTCCTACTTCTGAGTGCAATGGTGCCACCTTGGCTCACTGCAGCCTCTGCCTCCCGGGCTTAAGCAATCCTACCATCTCAGCCTTCCGAGTACCTGGAACCACAGATGTGCCCCACTACGCTTGTCATTCTATATGGGGGCACAAGGACAGGAACACACAAAGCATCTTGGGAAAGAACGTGGAGGAGTCTCATCTGCCGGGTCCGGCTTACTGCACAGCATTAGAAATGGAGTGGGGTGGGGCTGCTGCATGGTGGAAGAAGTCCCACACGACACACTTTGCACACAGGAACACCGATTTGCAGCATGGCTGCCTCTCAATAAACCGAGGTCCACATCAGAAGCAGTGAGCCTGATCCCTACTTCACATTACACAGAGACCCAAACTGGAAAAGCAAAACAGTAAACCGTCTCAAAGATAATAAAGTAGATTATTCCAGTCTGGGGGGGGGGATTTCTTCATTAGGACAATAGGCAGTAACTATAAAAGGGAATATTGAAAAAATGACCTCATTAAAACTGTGAACTTCTGCTTATCAAAACAGCCTTCAAAAAATGGACGCAGAAAAAAAATAAAATAAAATTTAAAAATGGAAGCAGAAGCCAAGAGTAGAAGACGGTTACAACCCACAGACGATGGGCGCATTGTGAGCTGAGTGATAGTCCCTCAAAAATACGTCCAGGTCCTAGGATCTGAGAGTGCCTGTGAATTAGATCACACTTGGAATTAGGTTCTTCGCAGACGGAATGGAGCTAAAACCAGGGTGGGCCCTGATCCAAAACTGGTTAATAAAACGGGGAAATTAGTCCATTTGAGGTGGCTCACGCCTGTAACCCCAGTACTTTGGAAGGTGGACGTGGGCGGATCATGAGGTCAGGAGTTCAAGACCAGCCTGGCCAAGACGGTGAAACCCCGTCTCTACTAAAAATACAAGAATTAGCCGGTGTAGGGACAGGCACCAGTAATCCCAGCTGCTTGGGAGGCTGAGGCAGAGAACAGCTTGAACCTGGGAGGCGGAGGTTGCAGTGAGCCGAGATCATGCCACTGCACTCCAGCCTGGGCGACAGAGCAAGACTCCACCTCAAACAACCAACCAACCAAACAAACAAACAAAACAGGGAAATTAGACACCGGAGGGTGCCACGTGTAGACGGAGCAGACACTGGAACGCTGCAGCTGAAACCCGAGGAATGCTTGGCCACCAGAAGCTGGAGGAGCGAGGAGGAAGCTCCCGGAGGGGCTTGGAGGGAGCATGGCCCTGCAGGCACCTTCGTTTTGGACTTCTCGCCTCCAGAATTCTCTGTGAGAGAATGACTTTGTTGTTCTAAGCCACCTGCTTGTAATCTGTGGCAGCAGCACTAGGGTGTGCACGTAACTGCCAGAGCCAGCAGTGACCGCTCTTCCTGCCCGCTGTGGGTTCCAGGTGTGGGGAGGCACCACGGGAACAGGAGCAGGAGACCCACAGTCACAGAGCTTCTGCCCAGCTGCTGCCACTCAAGTACAGATAATGTGGAGGCATCTCGTGGAGGTTAGGATGGAAGGAACTGAGGGGGAAGGATTGTGGAGGGCGGGGGGTGGGGAGGATCTGAGGGGTGAGGGGTCGGAAGGATTGCAGAGGGGTGGGGGAAGGATCCCAGGGGTGAGGGTCTGAGGGCAGAGGAATCCCACAGGGAAGGATTGCAGGGGTGGGGATGGGGGGGAGGAAGGATATGAGGGCAGAGGGGTCCAAGGTGGGAAGGGTCCGAGAACGGAGGTATCTGAGGGGAAAGGATCTGAATGGGAAGGGTCTGCGGCAAAACTACCTGCGGTGGAAGCATCTAAGGGGGAAGGACCTGAGGGGGGAAGGACCTGAGGGGGGAAGGACCTGAGGTGGAAGCACCTGAGGGGGGAAGGACCTGAGGGGGAAAGGACCTGAGCGGGGAAGGACCTGAAGGGGAAGGATCTGAAGGGGGAAGGACCTGAGGGGGGAAGGAACTGAGGGGGAAGGACCTGAAGGGGGAAGGACCTGAAGGGGGAAGGACCTGAGGGGGGAAGGACCTGAGGGGGGAAGGACCTGAGGGGGGAAGGACCTGAGGGGGGAAGGACCTGAGGGGGAAGGACCTGAAGGGGGAAGGACCTGAGGGGGGAAGGATCTGAGGGGGGAAGGATCTGAGGGGGGAGGACCTGAGGGGGGAAGGACCTGAGGGGGAAGGACCTGAGGGGGGAAGGACCTGAGGGGGGAAGGACCTGAGGGGGAAGGACCTGAGCGGGGAAGGACCTGAGGGGGGAAGGACCTGAGGGGGGAAGGACCTGAGGGGGAAGGACCTGAAGGGGGAAGGACCTGAGGGGGGAAGGACCTGAGGGGGAAGGACCTGAGGGGGGAGGACCTGAGGGGGGAAGGACCTGAGGGGGGAAGGACCTGAGGGGGAAGGACCTGAAGGGGGAAGGACCTGAGCGGGGAAGGACCTGAGGGGGAAGAATCCGAGGGGGAAGGACCTGAGAGGGGATGAGTTGAGGGGGAAGGACCTGATGTGGGGAAGAACTTGAGGGGGAAGGACCTGAGGGGAGAAAGTCCTGAGCAGGGAAGGACCTGAGGGGGAAGGCTCTGAGGGGGAAGGGTTTTTGGGCAAAAATATCTGAAGCAGAAGCATCTAAGGGGGAAGGACCTGAGGGGGGAAGGACCTGAGGGGGAAGGACCTGAGGGGGGAAGGACCTGAGGGGGAAGGACCTGAAGGGGGAAGGACCTGAGGGGGGAAGGACCTGAGGGGGAAGAATCTGAGGGGGAAGGACCTGAGAGGGGATGAGTTGAGGGGGAAGGACCTGATGTGGGGAAGGACCTGAGGGGGGAAGGACCTGAGGGGGGAAGGACCTGAGGGGGAAGGTCCTGAAGGGGAAGGACCTGAGAGGGAAGGATCTGAGGGGGGATGAGTTGAGGGGGAAGGACGTGAGGGGTGAAGGATCTGAGTGGGAAGGACCTGAGTGGGAAGGACCTGAGGGAAGGGATCTGCGTGGTGGGAGAGAGACTGGACAGCCAGGTCTGGGTAGGGGATGGGGGAGGCCGCTCTAAGTGGGAAGGAGCTGGGCTAGGGGCAACAGGACTCCCAGACGTGGACTTGGCCAGGCCCTCTGGAGCCCTAACCCATGCCCCTCTTTGTCATGTGTTTATGGCAGGCGACCCTATGCCTGGCCGGGCCTTTCCAGAAGAAGCCATACAGTGGTCCCCACCCTCCCACCCCGGGCTGGGGGCTCTTGCTTAGGTGCCTCCCCACGTGGCCGGGGCAGAGGGGATGGCCACTCAGCTGGGGAAGTTTCCGCGTGCACCCGTGGTGTAGAAGCGCCCTGTGTGTGCAGGCAGGGACGGAAGAGGCGCTACCGAGCTTGAGTACAAAAGAGAGGGATCCAGGGAAGCAGAGCCCGAGAGGCGGGGAAGGACGTGGTTTGGGGCGCAGCCAGCAGCGCCAGGGCTTAGGGGGAGCTTGGCCCGCGGAGGTGGCAGCGCCACCCAGGAGGAAGGGTCGGGGGTCTTCCCAGAGCGGACGCCCAGAGCAAGGCCAGCCTCTCCACAGAGATAGGGAGGCGGAGAAGAAGGCGCAGTCCCGCCCCAGGCCCCGCAGCGCCATAGGGTGGGCAGGACCCCGCCAGGAGGAGCTGCGCTTCTGATGCTCCCTTCCAGGCAAACTTCAACTGCAACTCCTCTGACGGCCTATTTACGCCATCGCGGGTTTCCTTGGCGATGGAGACAGGCCCAAGACGCGTCTTTGGGAAGAAAAGGCCATTGGGGGCCCGCTGGAGCCTCGCTCTGGTTCCAGGCCCAGCGCCCCAGGCAGAATGTGGGGGGAGTGCTGGCCTGTGTGTGGGGTCCATCCTCCCACACACCAGACCGTCCCTTTGCGCTGCTGCGTCATGAGGGCCGCTTACCACGGCAGACACGCGTCTCGCGGACCTGGGGGTCCCTCTCCTTCTCTCCCGGCCCCTCCCTGCACCTGCGCTGTCGCCGCGTTTTCTGCGGGTCCCCTGCGCCCCACCCGCCGCGCTCTGGCGGGGAGACAAGCGCCTGGCTCCTGTCTGTGGTGAGGGTGCGCGGGGTACTGATGGCAGATGGATGGGGGCGCGGGTGAGCGAGTCCGTGCGGATGCAGGATGGATGGCGGGGCCGGGGGTGCAGGCTCTCAGTCGAAAGTCCACGGAAGCTCGGCTGGAGGTCACGTCACCGACCCGCTTTCGCACGCGCCCTCCAACCCTGGAATGCTGCGTCACGCGGGGGATGCGCGCATGTGCGCGGGCGTGGGCTTGTGCGGGCCGGGCACGAGCGCGTGTGACTGCGGATCCCTGAGGGTCCCGCCCCACCCCCGCGGGCCCCCCCGCAGCCTCCCGCCCCTGGCGCTGCAGGCGGCCGTGGCCGCCCCGCTGATTCCAAGACAGCTGCAGTGCGGAGCCCGCGAGCCCTGCGCAGAGGAGTGGGCGCGCAGCTGCTCCCGCTTCCCAGAGCCGCCACCTGTGGCCCCGCGCCCGAGCCTGCGGCAGCCGCAAGTGGTTCCCGAGCGGCGCCCTCCCAGCGTCCAGGCCGGCTCCTGCCTGTCACGCAGACGCCCCCATCGAGACCATCCTCCACCCCCCACCCCCGCGCGAGCTGCGGCTCCTCGGTGCTCTGCTCCAACGCCACTTCTGCCGCCCGCCCCACCCCGCCCCCGCAGACAGAATTGGACAGGAGTTGGGACTGGCACCCCCTGCCCACCTCGGGGACACCCCGAATGGCAGGCTGCGACCCTGGTGCCGGGCCGGGCCGTCCCAGGAAGCCTGGAGACCACCGCCCTCGGGCCAGCGGGGCCGGCCTGGGGCAGGCAGAGGAGGCCTAGGGAGGAGGCCGGCCGGGCGGTGGGACCCGAGGGTCAGCTGCAGAGCGCCCTGCACACTCGCATCCCGCACACGCGCTCCAGACACGCACACACACACCTTCCAGACACACACCCCCGCACACGCACTCCAGACGCGCACACACACACCTTCCAGACACGCGCACACACACCTTCCAGACACACACACGCACTCCAGACACGCGCACACACCTTCCAGACACACACACACACCTTCCAGACACACCCCCACACACACGCACTCCAGACGCGCACACACACCCTCCAGACACGCACACACACCCTCCAGACGCGCACACACACCCTCCAGACGCACATCGCCACACCCTCCAGACACACACACACCCCGCACACGCACCTGGCACACACCCCAGACACGCACACTCACACCCTCATCCGCACATGCGCCACGCACAAGCGCACTCAAACCTCCGCCCACACAAGAGCCGCAAGAACACACGCGCCTCGCACCGCGCACCCCCGGGCCCCCGCCCCACTCGCAAGGAGAAATGTGGAAACGGCTCACAGGCGGCTCCGCCGGCAGCTGCTGCAGGACGGGTCGGCAGGACAGCGATGCGGATGTGGATGCAGAGGATGCGGTTCCAGACGCTTCGCAGCCGGGCGGGGCAGGGGCTGCAGCGGCGAGACCGAGGCTGCGGTCGCCATGGAAACGCGCTGGAGGCGGCGCCTCGGCTCTGGCCCCGCACCGGGAACCCCCCCCACTCCCGCCCCGCGCCTCTGCCTGGGAGCCGCGCATGCGCCCTTCCGACCCTGCCCGGGCCCCACCACGCGCACACCTGACACACACCCCAGACACACACACACACACCTCACACCCCAGACACACACACCTGACAACCCCCCGAAACACACACCTCAAACACCAGACACACCCACCCACCTCACACACACCCAGGCACGCACCCCCCACACCCACACCTCACACCCCAGAAACACAGACACCTCATACCCCAGACACACACACCTCACACCCCAGACACACCCACACACCTCACACCCGACACACATACCCGACACACACCCCACACACCTCACACACACCCCACACACCTCACACACACCCAGGCACGCACCCCCCCAACCCACACCTCACACCCCAGAAACACAGACACCTCATGCCCCAGACACACACACCTCACCACACCCCAGACACATACCACACACACCCGACACACACACACCCCAGGCACACACCTCACACCC